TTTGGCAGACCTGAGTGCTGGGGTAAAATCCCAAATAATAATGGCGGGTCTGGTGTCGAAATAATGAATGTGATCAGAGTAGAGAGAGAATAACGTGGAAATTATCTGCCCCACAGTTAGGGGAAGGGTCTGGGATGGGGGTATACTGGGGTCTTTGGTGGTGGAGAATGGGCACTGGTGAAGGTATGGCTGTTTCATTGTATGACCGAGACTTAGACCCAAAAGCTTTGTAACTGCTCTCACGGTGATTCAATAAATAAAATTATACAAAATGAAAAAAAAAGTAAGGTGGAGTTCATGCACAATTCAATCAGCTAATCAGTGGCTGAATAAATAGCAGTACTTCTACATAAAAAATAAAATAAAATAAAATCCAGGTCCTGACTCTAACCTCCTTGGATAAAGATCTAATTGGGTCACTGGGTAAAGAACTAATTGGGACCGGCATCTCTAGCCAATACAGCACCTCCTACCATTGCTTGCCCCCTGCTCTCTAAGAGGTGCAGACCTAAAGTTAAATACTAAAAGAACTGCTTAACTAAGAAATAGTATGACTGTGAATTAATATGGCAGAGCAGCATTCTTCAACATTTTCATACCTGCAGGTTGACACCTATTATACAGACCCTCCATGGAACAGCGATTATAGGTGAGAGACCCAATGGTTTCTCTTTCTGCACCCATGGACCAGCATCAGTCCTTGAACTGGTGTGTTATGTGAAGTAGTACATATATTACATGGTAGTATCTTTAATATAATATATTATTACATGATGTTATATATTACATATTATATATGGTTCATGGGCATGTTTAGGAGTCACTCATGGGCACAGAGCCAGGAGTAGCTCCTGAGCATCACTGGATATGGCCCAAATCCCTAGATCATCCTCCCAAAAAGAAAGAAATGGGAGAACATCTCTGATGACACCATTATCAAGAACCTATTAATTTCTACATAGATTCTACATAGAAATAACTATCTGATGTACAGCATCATTGGCATACTTATTGTTCACCATGTTTTGTATGGAAATCCCATTTAACTAGACAAGTTAGGGACTGTCATAGCTTATATCTACTTGACACGAAAATTCACTAATGTATTATTTCGAGGAAAAATGCCAAAGCTCACATATTAGGAGATTATAGGGACCAGAATGATAAATGCCCTATAGTGGGTAGGACACTTGTCTTGCATGAGACACACCCAGAGTTGATCCAATTTCTAGCATCACATAAGGTCCCCTAAGCACTGCCAGCAGTAAACCCTGTGCACAGAGCCAGGAGTAAGCCCTGAGCAAGACCTGTGTAGAGCTTATCTGTGGGTTCCCTTTATGGCCGCCAAACAAAAGCAAACGTTAGATTGTAGATACACTATACTGTAGAATACACTGTAGAATACACTAACCCCATAGAGCCCCCCAGCAACAGCACAGCCAGTGTTGACAGTCATATTGTATCTGTGTCTTCCTTTCTCTTACTGAGAAATGAAAGTGAATTCCTCGTGTACAAAATAATGAAGAGAGATGGTCAAAGGTCTTGGTTCAAAGAAGAATGGTTCTTTTCTCCTTCTCCCAGGCATGCATTTTCTTACAGCACTTTCCTTTCCATTGCTTCAGTCATTACCCAAACTGGTGGCCATGGAGATGCCTCCTTTGATGTCCTCAAATAGAATAATCTATTTTTTCCCCCTGCTTCCTAACAAGGAAATAATCAAGCCTGCAGACGTGTAGGGAGTACAGATATGCTCCAACTGGTCTGTGAAAGTCCAGAAAAACACATGGCTTTTTACACATGTTTATTATCAAGGAATGTTCTGTGGCTTCGCTCAGATTCTCACAGGGGACTACACCTTTATAGGGTCAAGTCCCCCAGCTTCTACCTTATCTTGAAAGCCTCTTAAATGTCCTTTCTGACTTCCATTCCTTAGCCAGTTCTTTGTACCAATGCTTGCCCTGGCACCCCTCTGGGTAGCTCTCCCTGATTATCTCACCTATATAAATTGGTTCTCCTCTTTCCTCCCTGCCCTGGGGGGGGGGGGGGGGGAGGGCTAAAGAGATAGTAAACTCTGTTGAGATCCCAATTACTTGACATTCATTCAGCACTTCCTGTGTGTCAGGGATGCTATTACTCTTCCTCGGGTGTGGTTTTCTTATCTATGAGAAGAGCACAAGGCCCCTTGCAAGGTGTCTTCTGCAGCTGAGTGCAGCTGACTCAGTGAGTACTGAACGGAAACACAAGTGAGCAGTGCCACTCCAGCGGACTCGCATTCAGCTCTAGAACCACATGTAAAGTCAGTCTCATTCTTTTTTCTTTTTGCTTAAAGTAAAAAATAAAATATATTTGGAGAGTTAAAAGAACTGTGATCCAATGGAGTACTATGTAGCTGTTAGAAAAGATGAAGTCATGAAATTTACATACAAGTGGTACAACATGGAAAGTACCATGCTAAGCGAAATGAGTCAGAAAGAGAGGGATAGACATAGAAAGATTGCATTCATCTGGGGAATATAAAGTAACAAAGTAAGAGATTAATACCCAAGAATAGCTGAGATCAGCACCAGGAGGATTACTCCATAACTTAGAGGCCAGCCGGGTATCCTAGAGGAAAGGGCAGCTCAGATAGAGAAGGGAGCACCAAATAAAGGATGTTTGGAGGATCCTCCCAGGAGGGGAGATGCATGTCGAAAGTAGACTATGGACTGAACATGTTTGCCACTCAATGCCTCTTTTGCAGACCACAGCACCCAAAAGGAGAGAGAGAACACAGGGGATTGCCCTGCCACAGAGACAGGGGGGATGGGGGGATGGGGGTGGGAGGGATATTATCCATGGTGGTGGAAAATGGGCACTGGTGGAGGGATGGGTATCTGATCATTGTATAATTGAAACCAAAGCACAAAAAATTATAAATTTACAACTGTAAAAAAAATAAAATAAAGGGTAAAAATTTTATCAGAATAAAATTGCATTATAACAAAAAAAAAGAACTGTGATCATTGAATTTCATTAACAACAATTTGAATAAAGAATATATAATACTTCTGGAGTTTATAGTTGCTCTATACATTGAAAAAGGTTCATTTACTCCTCACTTTAAGGGATTTTCTACATGTTCAATAAAGAATTAACATTTCATCTATATTAAATGTTCTATGTCTGATCAAGTAGTTTTTTTTATAACCATGGAGATTTTTATTACAATCTCTTATTAAGGCAGATACTTAAGCAATATCTATACTATTATATTTCCTAACATAAAGTCAAGTTCCCTTTCTTAGAATAAAACACATTTATACTTTCATTTGGCTTATTCAGATTTTCTCTTAAATTTTTTCTTAATTCTCCTCACTCTTACTAAATTTCGTTCTTTTTTTAAAAAGGGGAAACATCAATTTAATCTTACTAGAATAAGAGGCCTAAGAAACTCCCACCTCATGTAAAGGTGGTATCAGAAATGATCCAGAACCACAAATGATAGAGCCGATCTCCACCTGCTCTTTTGACAGTTCCTTATCCGTTGCTTTGTTTTGGGGCCACACCTGGTGATGCTTAGGGATTATGCTTGGCTCAGCACTCAGGAATGACTCCTAGAGGTGTTTGGTGAACCCTATGGGATGCTGGAGTTAGAAGCCAGTTCCTGCACGTGCAAAGCAAGTGACTTACCTGCTGTACTCTCTCTCCATCTCTGAGTTCCTTAAATCTAGTGTCCTTCTATCAGGCATATAGATAGGTCTAGGCATCTTGGGGACTAAGGGCTCAGATAGAATGAAGGAAAAAACAGAATGGGTAGAAAACGGAACCCACAAAACTCAGAAAATAGGCGTTGCTGTGGAAAAACACTGCGGCCAGGGTCCAGGGACAGCTTCTCTCTGTTTCCACCCAAGAAACAATCCCTTTAGATAAACCCACAGCAAAGACGTTGGTCCCAATACATTGAGACCCTCTGAAAAATTCAAAGGTTTTAGCTCTGTGAGATTAAGCTAAGAACGTGATCCAGGAATGCTCTTCTGCCAGTAATGTTTGTGGAACCAGAGCAATAAATATTGTACGTGAAGGACAGTAGAGGCTCTAAGTCCACGAGGCTGTTAGTCCCGGGGCCCCCCTACCACTCCCCGCTTATTCATATTCCAGCTACAACTCTGTTCAGGGTTGCTGCGCCACGGTGGGCACGAAACACTAGGTGGGGAAAGAACCGGACCCCTTCTCTCTCCCCTCTCTTCCCTCCCCTCTCCTCTCAGTTCTGCCCAACCTGCCACAAAGGGCAGCAGAGAACTTACTAGAGCTTTCCTCCCCGCCCCCGGCCCTCCCCCAAGCCATTCAGAGCTGCGGGGTGGGTCTCCTGCGTGTAAAGCTAGTGCTCCAGCCCACTAAGCTTTCTCTCCGACAACCCCCTCTTGTGCGTTTTAAATAAAGCCTGCCGATTTAATAATAGAAGTTAAATAATAGCGGTGGAGGATTATCGTTCTAAGGGAAGGGGGCTAAGTCGTTGACTGGAATGATACAGAAAGCCGGGTTGCAGGTGATGTGATGCCCAATGCTGGACCAAAACTCCTTTCCTAAATTCCCTCCCTCCTGAGAGATGCTACTTTGACGAGGTTGATTTTGCAAAAACTCCGAACATGCTGATTCAGCTTGCTGTTTTCAGAGCAAAGATTTGGCGTGCCTAGGCAATGGGAATTTGAGTTTATCCCTTTCGGACCGAGGTCAATCCCTTGTACCCAACGGAGACAGCACCAGTGGTAGGTGGTTGCCAGGATCAAAGGAGAGGGGAGGGAACACACACACACATACACACACACACACACGGAAGTGTCACATTGCAGCCACCCCAGGTACAGTGCTGCTGTATTTGCGGCCGCCAGGTGTACTCGCCCTCGGCTTCCTCCCCCATGTAGGGCTGGGGAGGGACAGAGCGGCAGAGCCCCGGGAGGAGGGAAGGTCACCCGGAGCCCGGGCGGGGCGGGCGGGGCCGAGCCTCACTGCCCCAGAGCCAGCGGGCGGGGCGCTCCCCGGGGGCTGGGCAGAGGCGACACCCTCGCCGCACCCCAGGCCGCCGTTGCCAGAGGGTGGGAGCCCGAGCGCCACCTCCAGAGAGGTACGGGCGGGCCGGGGAGGTGCGGGTGTGGGGATCGCGCCCCCCGCGCCGGGAGGAGGAGTGTGCGGAGGGTCCCCCCCAGGCCCAAGCTCTGCGGGTCGCGGAGCTGCGGCGCGGGAGGCCTCCCCGGGCCTCGCTGCAACTTCTCTTTGGAAGGCGGGACACGCACCCGGGGAAGGGGGGCAGGGGGCGGGTGCTCCTCCTCGGGCACGCGCGCACGCGCGCCCTCCGTCTATTTTTTGCTATTGTTTTCCTTCTCACGCTCCAAAATAGGTCAAGGGGTGCAAGTTACACCGGGTAGAGCCCCCGGCGCGGATGCAAACCCCGAACCAAAAAAGCAGCTTTTCTTTTGCTTTGCTGTTTCTCGGGGGATCCTGGGCAGCGTTGCAACTCTGCACGTTTGGGTCGAGCTTCCCGCCCCCCATTGCGTGCAGGCAGCGCCGGGGACCGAGGCTGATCGTGCTCTGCCAAGGGGAGCCCAGAGAAGCCCCCAGAGCCTCGAGGCGAGCAGGTCGTCCGGGTGAGTGGTGCTCTATGTTTTCTGCCTTTCGGAGTGGGTGACCTGTTTACCTTGGAATTTAGACGTGATCCAAACGAGCGAGCCTGCACGGGATTGCGGGTTGCGCTGCTGTGGTGAACCCGCCGCTCCATCCGAGGTCAGAGCTGCAGGGGCTTCAGCATCTTAAAGGTGAAGAAGAATTGATCTTTCAGCTCCCCCGTTAGCGACCTCTTAGGCATGGGTGGACCTTTAACCTGCAGGAAGCGGTGGACTAAGGTAACTAGAAGCCAGAAAGTTTGTCACAATTTTTTTTTCAGTTGATTGGGAAGAATTTCCAGTAGTAGTCAAAGCTAATGAGAAAAAATAACATCGATAACTCCCCTCCCCCCCAAAAAAAAACAGTTTAAGAAGGAATGTCCAAGGTAATTGGAGTGTGACGGTGTATTATTTTGCATGTCTTTTTCTATTTCCTGGTTCTTTTGGACCCATGTTATTAGCGCATGTTATTAGCTTTATGCTGAAAAAAGATAAGGCTGAAAATATCTAAGTGGCAGGCTATAGATTGGTATGTGAGAATTTAAGTGTGCATTGAACATTTCCCTAGGAAGATTGCTAGAATACACCTATATTGGTTTTTTTTTCTTGCAGTTAAGCATATTGGCATTGTTACAGAGAATGATTTGTTTGTGATCAACTCTCTATTTAGTGCTCAAAGTACACTCACTCACGTTGCGCAGGAGGCTGTGGAATCCTTGATGTTACTGGCCAATGAATGGTTAATTTGTTCTGAAGTTCCACAGGGGAAAAACTGTAGGTTTTTCTCCGTTGCTACCTGACTGAAATGGCAGTGGGGAGGGCTCTGTGGACAGGTGAGGATGCTCTAGGGCAGCTCAGAGGGAGGCTCAAGAAGAGGGACAGGCCCTCTCCAGGTAGCCAGAAATGGCCCTGAACTTGTTTGAAACCTTGGCCAAGCTGGGGAGGACCTGCTTACTCAGGAAGCAGCCCCAGAGAACTGCTGTTTTCTTCCTGCACGGGTCAGATTTCCCAAAGGAGCCCTCTGTGGACTGTTACTCAAAAGAAATACTATTTCTAGAAAGAGTCAATTGTTCTACTGATGTTCTTTGGAAAGACTGGGTCCTTTATGTGCATGTCTTCCTATCTGTCTGGTAATTTAGAGGGTTTCCAAGAAATTTTCCTCCTACTTTAGAGAGGGATGTAAAATCAAAAATGCTACTTCTGCATTTTAACTCTGCCTTAAAATGGAGACAGTGGTGCCTTTCCAACCAATATGAAAGATTTTCACATGTGTTTTTAAAGCCAAATCTGACTGAAGATTATGAGGATCCTGAAGAAGGCAATAGCATGTCCAGCATGAAGGCTGGTGCCTGAGTACTTAAATTCTCTCTTCTAAAGAATTCATTTGCATCTCTAGAGCACTTGTTTCTGAGATTTGCAACAAGTCATGATGAAGACTCTCTCACTGCTTTGAAGAGGACTAGACAAGATTTTAAATGTTTAGGAAAAATCCAAAACTCAGTCCTTCTGTTTACTGCATGTTGATCTGATTTGTTTGTTTGGGGGCCACACCCGCCTGGCTCTGCATTTGGGGATCACTCACTCCTGGTGGTCATGCTGGGGACTGAACCCGAGTTGGTTGCCTGCAAGACACACACTCTCCTTGCTGTTCTCTCTATCCAGCTAGAACCATTCGTATTTTTTTAAAGAGGAACTGAATCAAGTCTTCCCTATAATTTAGCTTTCAATAGCATGAATGCATTGTTGAGATGAGGCTGTCAGCACTGTCTGTGCAAGCTCCGGTTTCCACTGGAAGATAAATTAGCAAGTGTTCTGAGAGGAGAGACATGAAAATGGTAAGATATCAGGGATTGATTTAAGGACAGACTGAAGGAACTAAGCATTGAGCCTGAGTCTAGGCATAGTTTGGTGCTCGGCAGCGCTGATGGTTTAATGGTGTTAAAAGGCCAGCTGACTGTCCTTCAGCTTTTGTGATTCTCTTCTCTGGAGGCTCTTAAGTGAATACGTTGCACAGAATCCCCAGCTAAGCAGTGTCCAAAAGGAGCTGACATCATTCACTTTGGGTCCTTCCTGCCCATCCGGAGAACCGTCTCACCACTCAGGAGAAGGGATTTTAAGTTTGAATCGGCAGCGAATTCAATTCGCAGTGAATCTCCACTCTGAGCCATTTCACGCTGCTCAGCCATTTCCCCAGGTGAGAAATGGACATAATGATACTTCCTGGAGTGACCTTCAGAAAGCAAATGGAATCATTGGTGTGAATCATTGGTGTCCAGCACTGGTGCACAATGGGAAATTTTACTGGAAATAGAAAGATACTGCCGTAAATATCACCCTCTGGATGTTACAGAGGGGGTTGCTGAAGCTGACAGAATTGAATAGGAAGGTACCTGGGTTATCCTTAGTCTTGGTATACTGATCAGTATCCCGATAGTATATGATACTCAATACATAAGACTCTGAGAAGATAGTGTCCTCTGGGAACTAGAGGCTCACATCATCAAAATTGCAACTTCAGCCTTTGGTCTATCTGCGTTATAGAGGTCACCAGTGTTGGTTTGGGAGATAACTAATCTGGAAAGAGAAGGTCAGCTGAAATTCTAGGGTAGAAATTAAACAATTGAGTAGTTCTTGTTAATGACATTAGCATTAATGTCATAGAAGTGGCCCTCATAATGGGACTGGAGAATAATATAATGGTTAGGGCACTTGCCTTGAATGTGGTCAATCAGATTCGATCCCCGGCATCCCATATGGCCCCCTAAACACCTCCAGGAGTAATTCTTGAGTGCAGAGCCAAGTGCAACCCTTGAGTAGCCCCAGGGGTGGCCCCAAAACAAAACAGAAGTGGCTCTCGTGAGAGAGAATGGCTTGGGAGCTAGAGCTAGATAGTACAGAGAGGGTAAGAAGCCTGCTTTGCATGTAGCTAACCCGGGTTGCATCCCTGGCAACCCAAATGATTTCCTGAGCCCTACCAGGAGTGGTCCCTGAGCACAGAGCCATAAATAACCACCACTCACCCACCCAGCAAAAAAAAAAAAAGTAAAATATTTCTAGTTTTTTCCCTCAGACTTTCGGCAGTGGAGTATTTGAACTTTAGGCATGAAGCATTTGAACTTTGTTCCTTTGGTGCTTCAGTTATACACCAGGCATCATGTAAGGGCTGCACCTGGAGAATAGACCTGGCCCTCAGGGAATACAGATCTTCTGGTAATAAATAGGCAAAGTTCTCTCTAGATGTGTGCCAACGGCTGTGCAGGGCAGAAATAGGGAGTCTATCCTGCGAAGGGAAGGTCAGGAAAGCCTGTGGAAGGAAGGGGTGCCAGGGTAGGAAGGCAGGTGCCCTTGTGAACAGTACACTGGGCACTGTGCTGCCCACAGCAGAGAGGGGCAGGGAGAGTCTAGGTGACTTTGGAGGAAGGGTCAGCGCTAAGTATGAGGCCAAACTGTATTTGCGGCCCAGGTCTTGAGACCTGGGTTGTGAGACTTATTTTTTCTCTTTGACCATATGTTTAGGGTTATGGTTTTGGTAGAACTCTTTACTTTATATATTTGAACTTTGTTCAACTCTTTACTTCGTATATTTACTTTATATATTACTTTTTATATTAATATATAAATTCTTTATATATTAACATCTTACCTGAGTCCCCCCTTTTTTTTTACTAGCAACTAGATTTTTCTTTTTTTCTTTCTTTTTTTTATTTATTTGTTGAATCACCATGAGAACAGTCACAAAGCCTTTCAGTTCAAGTCTTGGTCAGTCATACAATGATCAAACACCCAGTGCACGTTTTCCACCACCAAGAATCCCAGTATACTCCATCTCCCACCCACCCTCTGCCTGTGGGGCAGATTTCCACTTTGCTCTCTCTCTACGTTGACCATATTCAATATTACGACAAAAGACCCACCATTGTTATTTGGACTTTTCCCCAACATTCAGACCTGCCACAAAAACATCACTAGAAAATTTGTTTTCTATTGTTGATTATGAAGAGCATATGATGTCGTGTGGCCGCAATAGTGGCCATGCAAATTTGGATTTCTGATATTTTAGTAATAAACCTAGAGGGATTACTGCTAGAAGCCCCTGGGTTCTGAGATTGGTATGTGTGCCTCTGGGTTCATGGTCGGTCGGAAGCCAGAGGAGGCATTTGAGGGTGGCAACCGGAGCATTTTCATGGCAGGGTGCAGGGCCGAATTCACCCCCCACCCATCCCATGAAACCCCATGTGCCTCGTCAATGCAGTCTCATACCTGGCTGTTCATTAGGCTCTAAAAGATGCAGGCCACCATGTCGCCACCTCAAAGGGGGACAGGTGGAGGAACAGACACCCTTCCCCTCCCAGGGCAGCATAGCACCATAGTTAAATACACAGTCCAGATGTATTTCGGTTGGGCATTATCTTTTGCTCAGACTTTCGCACCACCATTCAAGCCTGATTTTCAGGGAGAAATGCTA